ATGTCTCCGCCGCGCCAATTGTAGATTCTTGCTCAAAACTGGCTGGCTTCTGACGTCACATTTCTAACCCACGAAGCTGATTGGTTGAGACAGCTGTGTTAGAAGCTGGCAGGACGGAGGAGCGGGGTTTGGGGAGTCCGCGAGACAGCAGATTTCTCGACAATGTGGCGGTGAGACGTGACAGTTTAACATGACTGAAATGTAGCTAAAAAAATGTTGTTCTACTTTACTTGTGCCAGAAGTGTCTCATTCCATGTTTGGTTTAATTTTTTTTTAATCTGACTGAATTTTGTGTTTTCATGTGACTAAAATCTGTGCTTACATATAGAAAAAAACAAAAACATGGTTATGTGTGTGCTTAACTGTGTTAATGTATGGTTAAAATCTGAATATACACATGACTAAAATCTGCATTTGAATACACCGGCAGGGGTCGGCAACCTTTTGAACACACTGCCAGTTTTTAACATTTCTACTGCCCTGCATGCTAACTATAATTTTCAATATGCAAGTTATTGTCATGTGTATATTGATAAATAAAGTTTTCATGCATATTTGAAATACACACAATTACATATGAATGGTAAGATATATAATCAAATACTATAAAATGATCTCACCATTTTAGTGTGATCCCTGTCCCTGCCTCCCCTTGCTCAGCGTTGCTATGTCGGGAGTATATCTGGACACCTTACGTTGCACACACCCCTTGGAGTGATCAGTTGTAAGTCGGCACTGCGATGGTGATTGAGGATATTCTTCATGTGTGAAAAAATCTCCTCACATAGATATGTCGATCCAAAGGTTGAAAGCAGTGCGAAGGCAACCTTCTTCATGCAATCAAATTTCTTTGGTATGGATGCCCAACTGCTTAGGATGGAGGCCTCATGATCACTCACAGTCGTTTCAAGTGATTTACGTAGCTCCGTGAACTTTACTACCCATAGTGAAGACGACTTAAAATCGACCAGATGCATCTCCAAGTCCCCAATTTCCATCGACTCAAATAAAGACAAGTCCAAGTCACTCTCCTCAAAGTTTTCAGGTTTAATTAAAAAGGAAAACATTGGGCCAATGTGCTGGAAATCTTGAAATCTGACAGAGAAGTCTGACTTTAGTTCTTGTATATACACTGTTTGTCCTGCACCCTGCAGGCGAAGATTAAGTTCACTGAGGTGTTTGGTGATGTCTGAGAGAAACATATGTTTCACTACTCATTGGTTACCTTCCTTCGGGGTATTTTTGGCCCTTTTCTTTCAGAAAGATCCTGATTTCATCAAAGCATTTCACGAACCGTTCTAAAGCCTTCCCGCAACTTAAACACCTAACACTGGAGTAAACGGGTATGTCTCCACATGCACTCTTCATCTCATCAAGAAAAGACTGGAATTGTGTGTGTGTAAGAGCAGATCGTGCAACTAAAAAAAATATATTAGTTTTTGTCACAGTGACCATTACTTTATTAAGATCAGAGTTTGAAATTCTGGCGCACACATTTTCCTGATGAATAATGTAGTGTAGCTTCAGGATGGAGTGCCCGATTTTATACTCTATTAGCTTGGTAAATCCCCTGTGTTTTCCTACGATAACACGAGCGCCATCAGCTGTAACTGCAAATATAATATTTTTTATATCAACCCCTCTCTCCTCAAAATGACCAATGAACGCTTTAACAATGTCATCTACCTTGGTAGTACCATGCATAGGTCTTAAGCAGCACAGCTCCCCGTGTACCTCCGTGTCACTGTACCTGGCGACAATAGCCAAACATGGTATGTCATTTATATCAAAACTCATCAACAGCAATACAAAACACAGATGCATTTGTTAATGCAACAGTTTGCTGTTCTCTTATATTTGCAGCCATGTCTGATATGCGCCTCTCTACAGTCCTGGCTGCAATAAGCATGTCTTTAATCCTCGAGATGATTGTGTGTTTGTTTGGTAAATCACTAAATAAAGCTTGAGAGCTATTGAGAAAGGCCTCCTTTATATAATCCCCACCAATAATTGGTTTTCCATGTTTAGCAATACAGAGAAACTTTGTAGCTGGCCACATTTGCATGATCTTTGTTTGCTCTCATATTCTTCATAACGCTACTTTGTTTTTCATATCGGGATACTGCCTTCTTAATTGCTCCAGCCTTGTCTGCATTGTCCTTAAATGTCTTCTCATGCTTCGTTTCATAATGTCTATTTACAACATTCTCGCAACACAGAGCACACACAGCTCCAAGAGGGTTGAAACTATCGAACGTCTAATTTGGCTTTCTTGGCAGCTGCCATTGTGGCTACTTAATTATGAGTAGCTTCTGTCACCACGGCTGAAAGTACACTGACCGTGCCTGATGGTCTGAGTAACCAGTGCTACTACCTAGAAATGGAAACTCCCGCAAATAAAAAATCCAGGAGATTGGATACTAATAAAAAGATGATTGTGCAATTTCAATAAAAGTGATGTAAATACATATTCAAAATAATAAAACATATAATTATACTGTACTCCAATTTCTTAGATATAGAAAATATGACGTGACACGGGCTAGAGCTGAGCTCATGTCACAGTTTGTTTATTTGAAATGACGCTATTATTTTTCGATTAAGTAATATGTTTTTAAAATCACTTGGCTTGCCATGGTCGACCCCCGACAGATAAAAAGTGTTAACGTGTGCTTAACTGTGTTAGCGTGTTGCTAAAATGTGATTTTACACGTGGCTAGTCTATGCTTAAATGTGGCTAAAATCTAGTTATATTTGGTTGAACTCTGGACTTACATATTGCTGAAGTCTGTGTTATATATGACTGAAGTTTGTGTTTACATGTGGGCCTGATGTCCATGTTTACGTGCAACTGAAACCTGTATTGAAATGAGAGTGAAATCTGGTCTTACATGTGAGTGAAGTCTATACACTGTATATGAAGCACTGAGTTTCGGCTGGCTTACTATTTACCTTATTTAATATGAGACACTGCAACACCTTCAAGTGCCGTATCCATTTCACAGCAGCATCCCTTTGGACTTTGGGTATAGTTATGGTTGGCCAATTTGTTTCATTTAAGGATAATTTGTATTACAGTTAATGTCATTATTACATATACTGTAATCTTGTATCATAGTGCAGGATATTACGGAAACTGGCTTGGTGGTTATGGCACAAAGTTGTCTAGTATTCGTAATTTTGACGCCTTATGTTTGCCTCGAGAGGCTTTCCAGATGGTCATCTAAATTGATTCGTATGCATGATGGTTCATGAGTGAAGTGTTCACATGTATGGTGGTTCATGAGTGTAGTGTTCACATGTATGGTGATTCATGAGTATAGTGTTCACATGTATGGTGGTTCATGAGTGTAGTATTCACATGTATGGTGATTCATGAGTGTAGTGTTCACATGTATGGTGATTCATGAGTGTAGTGTTCACATGTATGGTGGTTCACACATATATCAAAGTTCATGTGTGTAATGATCTGTACGTGATTTACTCATATGGTCCTTCATGTGTATGATGGTTCACAAATATACAGTAGTTAACGTGCGTGTGTAGTGGTCCACATATTTATTATGATTCAAGTATATGATGGTTCATGTGTAGTGATCCATATATGATGGTTTTTGTGTGTATCGGTCCATATATGATGCTTCATGTGTGAGGTGGAATTTATATGAAGATTCATTGCCTGAGGTCATCTTACGTGGAGTCTCCTGGAAAGGACAAAAGTGTCGGCAGCTTCCATCACTGAGTTTCAGTATGCAAACGATCTCTCGTTGTACACACTGAATGCGTCCTACATTAGATCCTGAACACCTACGAAGGTGCATATACACAATTTAACCTTGAGGTAAACGTACATATGACACAGATTCTGTTACAGCCTGTCCTTGGTTCAACCATGTCTCCACCGTCCACCCAGGTTAACGGCACTACTCCCTCAAATATTAACCATTTCCAGTACCTTGGGTCCCACCTGTCCACCACCGTGGACATCAATGAAGAGTTCCATCATCGGATCAGATGTGCGTCTCAATCCTTTTGTCGTCTACGTACTCGTGTCTTCAGTTATAGGGAGCCGAAATTATCTACAAAGCTGCACGTATATCGAGCAGTGGTCCCACCCACCCTGCTGTATGGCAGCGAGACATGAGTCACATACAGGGGTTCCATGACAAAACCCCAACGGGGTTGTCATTTGTCAACACTAATCTAACCTAACTTAACCTAAATATAAAAGTGTTTTATTTTAAATTTTATATATGAGACTGGGGCTTTGTCCAGTGGGGTTTTATCGGGTCACCTAAACAGGAGATATCTCGAGGTACTTGAGAACTTTCACCAACGTATTCTACATTCCATCCTGCGGGTCCGCTGGGAAAACAAGAGGACAAATGCCAGTAGTCTTGCATACACCAACTGTAAAAGAAACGAGGCTGCCAATATCCATGAACAACTATGCTGGACCAGCCGTGTTACCCACATGGACGACAGTAGACTACCAGAACAGCTACTCGGCAGTCATTTAAACAATGCCAAACGTAATACTGGCGGGAACATAAAAGGTTTAAGGATAGTCTTAAGACAAACCGAAAAAAGTACCAAATCGACTCCTGCACTTGCGAGACGATCGTTCCATATCATAATGTTTGGAGGAGCACCACACGAAGTGTTAATTCTTTCCAGTTAACTCAACTGCAGGGGCGGATCCATGAGGTGTCCTGGAGGTCCGGACCCCCTTTCCATCAGAAAATTCCAATACCTTTACTTTAATGCAGTATTGTACTCAAGCGTGTTTAAATATGAAATGTAATCATTATTGATTTCAGAATATATCCAAATATCAAGTGCACATGGCTTCAAAATAGCCTCGAAATGCCCATGATATTGATGATTTTGGTCAGAGTCCCCCCCCAAAAAAAAATTGGGAAACATACAGAAAAATCCCCAGCTGGGTGGGCTCGCTGTGCTCGCCGTGTTCCCTCACCCACAACTTCTTGGACCCCCCCTTTGGATATTCCTGAATCTGCCCCTGAACTGCATATTGAGGTGAACAAACACTAGCACTGACAAATTGCTGCTGTCACCCTCCCGCACTAGATGTAGCCCTTCCTACGCTCAACACCTACGGATGACACTGCCAATCCCGTGTCAACCTCCTAAGCTACCTCAGAACTCACCAACAAAGATGACATCACAAATTAATCATATCATTCTGTGATTGGTGGATGAATTTTATACTCTATTCCGATTGACAGGAAAGAAGTAGTATTATGGTGGTTTATGTCTCTATTGGTCAATGTATGATGATTCATGTGTGTGGTGGTCCATGTATGATGATTCATGTGTGTAGTGGTCCATGTATGATGATTTATGTGTGTAGTGGTCCATGTATGATGATTCATGTGTGTAGTGGTCCATGTATGATGATTAATGTGTGTAGTGGTCAAATGTATG